GAGTTCTAGTCCCAGCTCTGCCACTGACCTGCCGGGCAACCGTGGGCAGGGCACTTCATCTCCCCGTGCCTCAGTTTCCCCATCGGTAGCATGGGGGTGCTGACACTTGCCTCTCTCTCTGATGCTCTTTGAGATCTATGGACAGGTTGCTCCTGCCCTGCAGGGGGAGAAGAGGGCTCTTAGAGTGCAGGGATCAGGAGGAAAGCATCAGCTTTTGAGCTACTCATCCGTGGCCCAGTGCAACTATGGAGTTGGAGTGGGTGCGCTTGGCACCATTGCCTGTCCATGTGGAAGAAGAGTCAGTCCCATGCACGGAACGGCTATTGCGCCGACAGACCTGTGTCCAACAGCTCCTGGGAAGAGGGCTGGCTGTGGGTCGGACAGGCCCAGCCGGGGAGCTCACAGGGGAGGCAGGACAAATCCAAGCAACACTGGTACTCCGAGAGGGGTGCTCCCAGCACTCCATCCGCTATCCGTGCCCATCTCCCCGTGTTCTGCCAGAAAGGGAGTGATCAGGATCCCATCCTCGCTCTGCCCAGAATGGGGTGGACCAGCTGGGCACAGAGCAAGCCCCCTGCTCTCTCCTAGGGGAAGAGCTTCGCTGCTGGCCACAGCAGGCAGCTCACGAGCCATCCGCCAGATGGAGCCAGGGAGCTCGCCAGCTGGGAAGCAGCTGCACGCGGATCTCCCCCCCCACCGCTGCTGCTGCAGACTCCTCGCCTCCCCGCTTCCAGCTGGGCTGGACTTGCTGCAACTGAAGCTGGTGCCCACTGCAAATGACAGCACAGGGTCTGCCTGCTGCCCACCGCAGCGGAGCTGGAGGGCGCTGGGGAAGGGAAGAGGGCAGCCTCTTTGTATGCCCTCCCCTTATTAAAGCCGCTCGGGTCCCACAGCTCCCCAGGCACTGCTCCAAGAGCCAGGCTGGCTGGGAGCAGCACCCCGCTGTTGCTGCTGCTTGCTTTCAGATGCAAATCAGCTCTTGGGTAAAAGGGGAGCTGTGGCTTCTTGCAACACGCGGCAGTTTCACTTCTCAGTTTCCCCTCGCTTGCGACAGCGGTGAGACCTAGCAACGCCGGGGCACGCTCGTGGGTGGGCACGAAAGATGTCAGCAACCAGAGGATCAGGGGACCGGCTGGACAAACGACTCCCCCCGGGGGGAAATAATTACTCTGCCTGGCACAAGAGCCAGCAGGTTTAAAACAATGGCTAAGGCGAGTGGCGCTGTACAGAGGGCAACCCACTCGGCGGGGGGCTGGCCAAAGGGATTCCATTCAGGCTCCTCGGAGAGGCAGAGGAGGGAGATGTTTGGGGCGACCTCTTCTAATAACAAGCCACAAGGTCTTGAGCGGGCCTCGCTGCATGGGCTGAGATTGTTCAGCTATTGTCTGAACACGGGTGACTTACCCGGGCAAACAAAGAAACCCACACAAAGCAGTGTCCCTGCTGAGCGCACGGTGCCCTCCCCTTGGCACCATGCGGGACGCTCGCTGCCTTCTCCTGGCAGACTGCCACGGAGAGACAGCCCGAGGATCCAGCAGGCCCTCCATTGACCCTGACCCGGCCATGGCAGGGTGAAACAGACAGCGAGCAATTTAACACTCCAGCCTCCTCCCTGGCTGCACAGGAGCGGCTTTGCAAACAGCAGGGAGACGGATCAGCGTTCGCGTCCCACTCCCCGTCAGTGCCCAGCCCAGGCCAGGGAAGCTAACGATCCAACCCGTGGACCAAATTCGGTGATGAATCCTGCTCACGTGCTACCTGAGGCAAGTTGCACAGATGCTAAGAAGGCTGCCAACAGTTCGGATACAACTGACCGTGCCTGCCTCGGAGCCATCCCTCTGGGAAACGCTCCACACACCCGGCCAAGTGCCCCCCTGGGGTTTCTCGGGGGGAGTCACAGGAGGGGTAAATCAAATCCAGATGCAGAACTCAGCCCCTCCCAGGAAGGGAGCTGCCAGGTACAACAGTACCGGTGTCAGCATTCCTATAGCGTGGAAATGACAGTTTCCCACGTCAGTGGTACACTGAGAGTTGTAGTTGCCAGTGCAAAGTCTACACACACACACACACACACACACAGAGCCCTTTACAAAATGAGTCCAACATTTCTCTAGCTGCTCCCTGGGAAACGGCTCATGCATGTGCCCGCACAGGGCTGCACTAACCTGGCTTCCACGCCATGTCCATGCCATCCCTTCCCTCCTTCCACACAGGGGGGATTTTCAAACGGCGAGACTAAAGCAACTGAAGGGAAACTGAGGCAGCAGGCAACCAGGGGGCATCTCGCCCTGCTGCGCTCCCAGCTGTTGTTTGAAGGGCTGAGCGAGGCGCCCGGAAAGCAAGCCCCCTGGATCTGCTCCATCCCACGTCCCCCCCCGGTCCGTGTGGCATGGAGGGACATGTCAGAGGGCAGTGCCCACTGTGGAAATACCAAGCCCTGGCTCCCGCAACCCCATGCCCGGCAGGCAGCAGCAACCGCTCCAGCTAGGGCAGGTGTCCGGAGCAAGGGGTGGGCAGGGGCTGGCCAGACCCCCAGGGGAGCCGGCCCCAGTCGCTGGGTCTCTCTTCTTTATTTCTTACCCTCTCTCCCGGCTCTGAGACAGGAAGAACTTTTTCCTCCCTCCCGCTCGGTTTCATTCTCTCGGCTCCGTTCGCGGGCTCCTCTCCCCTTCCATCACTCGTCCTTTCCTCGCTTTCCCCTCTTCCCTCTCAACCCCTCCCCGGCCCCAGCCAGCGCCCCCCGGGCTAGAACCCCCGGCGCGCCGGGCACTCACATGTCAGACGCGGCCGGCTGGTAGGGCTGGCTCCGGCAGAGGATGGAGTGGCCGCAAGCTTGGCCCATCGCTCCTCATCCTCTCGCCAGCCCGGCCAGGAGGAGGAGGCGAGGGCTGAGGATGCTGCTGGCCAGAGGTCCCGGCGCCCTTCTCTCTCCCGGCTCGCCTCGGCGGCGGATGCTCCCGGAGCTGGCTCGGGGGCGGGTGTCTGAGGACGGGAGCCGTCACCGATCCCAATGCAGCTCGCTGGAGCATGCAGGGTGGGCGGGTGCAGCGAGGGAGCATGTGTGAGCGAGCGAGAGGGAAACACCCGCCCGGGCTGCCCCGCGGCCGAGCCGCTCCACGCCCGCGGCCCCTGCAGCGCCCGAGGAGGGGGCTGGAGCCAGGGGCGGGTCCCGGCGGACGGGGCCGGCCGGGGGCGGAGGGGGCCGGGCTCTCCGCGGGGAGGGCCAAGGGCCAGCGCCCCGGCTGGGGTGGAGTTTGCTGATTGCAGCGGGGTTGGGGGATCGCCGGCCCGGCGTGGGGATGGGGGAGAAGCCTTTGTTCAACTCGGACTAACTCCGGCCACCCCGGGCAGCAGCGCGTGTGTGTGTGTGAGTGTGTGTGTGTGAAATCTACACACGCTGGGCCAGATCCTCAGCAGGTGTTAATCAGTGTGTGTGTGTGTGTGTGTGTGAAATCTACACACGCTGGGCCAGATCCTCAGCTGGTGTCAAGGGGTGTGTGTGTATGAAATCTACACACGCTGGGCCAGATCCTCAGCTGGTGTCAAGGGGTGTGTGTGTGTGAAATCTACACACGCTGGGCCAGATCCTCAGCAGGTGTTAATCAGTGTGTGTGTGTGTGTGTGTGTGAAATCTACACACGCTGGGCCAGATCCTCAGCTGGTGTCAAGGGGTGTGTGTGTATGAAATCTACACACGCTGGGCCAGATCCTCAGCAGGTGTCAATCAGTGTGTGTGTGTGTGTGTGAAATCTACACACGCTGGGCCAGATCCTCAGCAGGTGTTAATCAGTGTGTGTGTGTGTGTGTGTGTGTGAAATCTACACACGCTGGGCCAGATCCTCAGCAGGTGTCAATCAGTGTGTGTGTGTGTGTGTGTGATATCTACACACGCTGGACCAGATCCTCAGCAGGTGTCAATCAGTGTGTGTGTGAAATCTACACACGCTGGACCAGATCCTCAGGTGATGTCAAGGGGTGTGTGTGTGTGAAATCTACACACGCTGGGCCAGATCCTCAGCTGGTGTCAGTCAGGGAAGGGTGTGTCTGGGTGTGAAATCTACACACACGCTGGGCCAGACCCTCCGCTGGTGTCAAGGGGTGTGTGTGTGAAATCTACACATGCTGGCCCAGATCCTCGGCTGGTGTCAGGCAGGGGAGGGTGTGCTGTTGTAATCAGCCTCGCTCCCGTGACTCCAGCAAAGATCTATTTGACACCAGGGGAGCAACACTGATTGACACCCGCTGAGAATCTGGCCTGACAGTCCCAATGTGCAGTGACTGCACTCCAGCCTTGGCGAGTCCCCTGTCTCTTCTCCACTCGCCTGGTTATTTCTCAGGGGGTCTCCTCCTTTCCACACACACACACACCCCCGCATCATCTCCCCTCTCCTCCTCCTCACCTTCCCATCTCAATTCACCATGGACATTGCCTCCCCGCCCCGTACCCTGCTGCCCCACTGCTCGCTCCCTGGCCTGCTCTGTGTTGGGCCCTGCTCCCTTGCTAATTGCCATCAGGAGCGAGCCTGTCGATACGGGTGCCGTTAGTCTGCTGCTGAAATCGCTCGGACTATTATTAGCCGGGTACATGTTCATAATTTAATTCATGTGGTTTGGGGAGCCTGGCTGCATTGTTACAGCAGGCAGGAAGGAGCTGTGTGTGTAATCCCTGAGCATGCAGTGGGGGGGCTGGGGACACTGGTGGGCCAGGAGGCCCAAACTGAGCCCGCTTCAGCATCCTAGGTCACCACCCCAGGTGGAGCTGTACGGAGATCCGCACAGGAGCTGAGCCAGCCTCGAGCCATCTCCCCTGCCTGCCTGGCACATGGTGACTGTCACTGGGCCAAATTAACTCTGCAGGAAACTCCACTGGCTTCCACTGATGGCTTTGTGATCACTGGTCCTGATCGGCTAAGAATAGTGCCCGTCCTACTAGTTCTGTTCCCCCGTTCCCCCCACACCCTGCTGTTCGTCTCATCCATCTGCCGTGCCTTGTTTTATAGCATTCGTCTATGCTGCAGTCAGAGGTGTGATTGCAGCACGTGCTATACACCAGCGAGCTGTGAGTGAGGCCGCCGCAACTGCAAAGCTACCCGGGACCTGGGTGCTCCGGGGCACACAGCGCCGTGAAACCGGCTGTGTCAGAACGGGAAGCAGCCTCTACAGTCAGACCATGAAAGCGGAGAGCAACCCTCCCGGGTTAGCTGCTGGAGGAGACTAACTGTGTCTGCCTGGCCCCTTCGGAGTTCCTGAGATCTTAGTTTCCCAGAGGATCTCCGCAGAGACCTGAGCGAGCGTGTGCAGGTGAGATCTGCCCCTCCTTCACCAGTGCCCAGCCTTGCTAGCGGGCGGACGGGCCGGCTATCTGGGTTCCCCTGGACGAGCTGGCTCTCCGCATCTTGATGATGGCCGTGATCTCGTCCTGCTGTTTCCTCATCTCTTGTTTGTCCACCTGCCGAGGGGAGAGAAGGCCAGAGCCATCGAACCCTCCACAGCCCGGCAGCAGAAATGCCAGATGGACAACTTCATGCGGGGCCCAGCTCTGGGGGGGACACAGGCCTCCCCCATCGGTCCCTGGCCCCCTGCCCGTCACTGAGCTGTGCTGGTCTGGAGTCACCCACCTGCCCAGCTCCACCGGCCAAGGAAAGGCACTCAAGCACCTCCGCCGAATGGTGTTGAACTCCTAATAGGCCTTCCCGTGCTTCTCCCCACCCGCTCCGATGTCTTCAAAGTTGCCATGGCTTCATTGCTATTGTTACTCATGCGAGCTAGAGCAAAGCTAGTTTGGGTGTAGCACCTCCGATCACTGTGTAGACATACCCTTAGACTGCAAGCTCTTTGGGGTAGGCCCTGTCATTTACTGTAGTTTTGTACAGCGCCTTGCACAACAGGGCCTCTCCTGACTGGCCTCTGGGCTCTACCATAATCTAAATGTTAAATCACAGTCATAGATGTCAAATTTGCCATTGGTAATCTAGGGGATGGTGGACAAGATTCTGCTCCCAGGTAAGACTGGTGAGAATCCAACATAAAATCCACGGGGGCCTGGCCCTTAGCTGAAGTTAACCAGTGCAGCTCTGTGGAGTTACAATGATTTGCCCCGGCTGAGGTTTTTGGCCCGTTGACTTCAGCGGAGTCGCTCCAGGTTTACACCTGTGAAACAGAGACTGGCACCTTTTAATGACTCTGGCGGTGGTTGAAGTCACTCGCTGAGCCTGCTTTTCCTCTCTTTTTCAACTGGTTTTTGCTCCTTGGGCCTGACTCTCAGCACCATGAGAGACCCCTTTACCCTGCTAGAGTGATCACCGCATTTTAGAAATGTAGGACAGGAAGGGACCTTGCGAGGTCATCTAGTCCTGTCCCCTGCACTGAGGCAGCACTAAGTATCATCTAGACCAGTGCTCTTCACTAGTTTTGAAGTGGGGCCACTTTTTGGCCATAAACCTTCCTTGTGAGAGCCACATCAACCCGACACAGACGGCTGAACACTCCGAGTTCTTTGTTGGTTGATATGGTAATATTACCGTTATTGGTAATATTGCTTGGGGTGCAGGAGGGGGTATGGGGTGCTGGCTCTGGGAGGCGGCTCAGGGCTGCGGCAGGGGCTTGGGGTGCAGGAGGGGGTATGGGGTGCTGGCTCTGGAACGGCACTCAAGGCTAGGGCAGGGGCTTGGGGTGCAGGAGGGTTTATGGGGGGCTGGCTCTGGGAGGCTGCAGATTGCGGGGGTGGAAGAGCTATTCAGAACCTGCCCATTGAAGGGGACGGCACTTACTTCTGGCGGCCCTGGCCCCACGCCACTCCTGGAAGGGACCAACGCGACCCTGCAGCCCCTCGGGGGGGCACGTGACTCTGTGCGCTGTTCCCAGCCAATGGGAGCTGTGGGGGCGGTGCTTGCAGGCAGGAGCAGTGCACGGAGACCTCTGCTCTCCCTGCTTACCCCCAGGGCCGCAGGGCTGCCCTGGCCGCTTCCGGGAGTGGCGAGGGGCCGGGGCAGGCAGGGAGCCTGCCTTAGCTGAAGCCCCCCCTGCCGCCGGAGAGCGCGATCAACAGGGAGTCGCACTTAGGGTCCATGGGAGCCGCCACCAGCTCGCAAACCTTGCAGTGAAGAACACGGATCTAGACCATCCCTGACAGATGTTTGTGTAACCCAGCGATACTCAGATTGAGCCTCGTGAGCCGCAAGTGGCTCTTTAATGTGTCTCCTGCGGCTCTTTGCAGTACGTGATATTAAAACACTGTGTGATTGTATTATTAACCAAACTAAGTTATTATCCAATCAGAATGCTCTTACGAGGTTATTAACCAAATGTAGATGATCAAATAATAATACTTGGTCAGTCATTTTGCTGTGAGAATAATATATATATACATAGTTAATGAAACAAGGAATTCACACGACTGGGACTCTTTTGGGTAATGTTGATCTCTAACTTGGCTCCTGAACTATTGAAGTCCGAGTATCACTGGTCGAATCTGGTCTTAAAAACCTCCAGTGAGGGATATTCCACAACCTCCCTAGGTAATTTGTTCCTGTGCTTAACCACCCTGACATTTAAGACGTTTTTCCTCCCTTTCTATAATTTAAGCCCATTGCTTCTTGTCCTGTCCTCAGTGGTGTCAAGGCAGCTCGGTGTAAATGAGAATTGAGAATCTTCGTCTTCTGTGTTGCCACTCTCAGTCAGACTGCTTGTGATGTTATTGACACAAACTGAGACTGTATAGATCACTGTTGCACCCAAGGTCCTCTAGTGGCAAGAAATCTTGTATAAAGGGGGTCAAATAAGGTGTCTAAGACAAGGTTATGTTTGCTTGTTATGATTATGCGATCTGAATGCATGTATCATTTTTGTATTTAAAGTTATAAGTATTGGCTCTATCCTGTCTGTAGTACAAACTTGTGCTATGCTTCTGGGTGACACCCCTGACAATGTGGCGTCAGCTCTGCCTAGCCTGCTGGGTGCCCATTAAGGACCATCAGCGATACAACTGACCCACTGAGAGAAGACAGACACGCCTTGGGACTCAGCAAGACGTGCAGGGACCTGCCTATGGACAGAACTTTAAGGTTTTTCCATGCCATGGGATGGACAGCTTGTCCTTGGGACAAGGAAAGCAGAGGTCACATGGCAAGACACTATAAAAGACTGCTGCATCTCCTCCCTCTTGTCTTCAGTCCTGCTTCTTGCCTCTGGAGGAACCTTGCTGCAAACTGAAGCTCTGAACAAAGGACTGAATGACCCATCCCAGCTGTGGATGGACTCCAGAGTCTTGATTTGAACCTGCAGTCTATTCCATCACTGCTACAAGCCTGAACCAAGAACTTTGCCATTCTCTACGCAAAAGAATAAATGGACACAAATCTGACATCAGGAATCATAACATTCAAAAACCAGTAGGAGAACACTTCAATCTCTCTGGTCACTGAATAACAGACCTCAAAGTGGCAATTCTTCAACAAAAAAACTTCAAAAACAGACTCCAATGTGAAGATGCAGAACTGGAATTAATTTGCAAACTAGATATCATCCGATTAGGCCTGAATAGAGACTGGGAGTGTTGGAGTCATTACAAAACCTAAACTTAATTTCCCCAATACTAATTTCTCCCTACTGTTACTCACATCTTCTTGTCAACTCTCTGTAGTGGGCCACTCTCTTACCACTTCAAAAGTTATTTCTCCTCCCTTGGTATCCTGCTGTTAATTGATTTATCTTGTTAGGCTGACCTCACGCTTGGTAAAGCAACCCACTTCCTTTCATGTATTTATACCTGCTCCTGTATCTTTTACTTCATATATCTGATGAAGTGGGTTCTAGCCTATGAAAGCTTATGCCCAAATAAATGTGTTAGACTCTAAGGTGCCACAAGGACTCCTCGGTTTTTTTTGATGATACAGACTAACATGGCTACCACTGAAACCTTTGCCATTACTGTATGTAATGGATTCCATTTAACCAATTCTAGCTCTCATCTCTATTTCTTTCTTTTTCTATTTCAGCGTAATTTGTGGGTAAGATTTGATTTGTATATTGACCTGGGTCTGGGGCTTGGTCCTTTAGGATCGAGAGAACCTTTTTTTCTTTTACTGGGGTGTTGGTTTTCATAACCATTTGTCCCCGTAACGAGTGGCCTTGGTGGTGATACTGGGAAACTGGAGTCTCTAAGGGAATTGCTGTGTGACTTGTGGTTAACCAGTGGGGTGAGACCAAAGTCCTCTCTGTCTGGCTGGTTTGGTTTGCCTTAGAGGTGGAGAAACCCCAGCCTTGGGCTGTAACTGCCCTGCTCTAAGCAATTTGTCCTGAATTGGCACTCTCAGAAATGTCCCACCAGAGGCAGCAATGTTACACTGCTCTTTGTGTTCAAGGCAGTGATGTTGTAGCTGTGTTGGTCCAAGGATATAAGACATACAAGGTGAGTGAGGTAATTTCTTTTAAAGGACCAACTGCGATGGTGAAAGAGATTAGATTTTGAGCTCCACAGAAGACCTGAAGAGGTGCTCTGTGGTGCCTGTGAGATTGTCTCTTTCTCCAACAAAAGTCAGTCCAATAAACTATATCCACTCACTCGCCTTGTCTCTTGCACCAGATAAAAGTGTGAGACTTCATGCCCGGCTGTCCCTGAGCCAGATACCCAGCTGGTGCCAATCAATGTAGCTCCATTAACGCCGATGGGCAGCAGCTGAGGATCTGGCCAATGCAGCTACACCGGGGTAAGACGTCAATGGGGACTGCTCATCGGCTTAAACACCATGCTGAGTCAGGAACAGACTTTGCCCGGTGACACAGTCCTGCACTGTTCCCCATCTATGGTTCTTATCTGGCGCTGCACCTTTGTGGTGTCTGAGCCCCTTACAGTCTTTAATATATTTATCCCCACAATAGCCCTGACAGGTAGGGCACTGCTATTATTCCCATTGTCCAGAGAGGAAACTGAGGCACAGATCCTCAGAAGTGCTGAGGTGCTTAACGCCCATTGATTTCAATGGGCTAAATATCTTGAAGCATCTAGGCCGGAGAGTCTCGGGCCAGGTATTTATTTGTTCCTCAGCTCAGCATTGCAATGCCTAAGGGAGTTCGACATCTAAGACCCATTTTCGAAAGAGACTCACGCACTTCAAAACCTAACTCTCCGTGAAAGTCAAGGGGAGTGGCACGAAGCAGCCAGAGCCTCCCGGAGTATCCTGAGCCGCTGGGATTCCCCCACAGACTGCAATGGTGCTACGCTGATTTGCAGCAGACGAGGAGCCAGCCTGCTATGCCCAGTGACTCTGCAGGAGCTAGGCTTGCCACTACTTTCTACTAAC